AGTACTGGAGACTGGTCTGAGAGCACACAGCAGCACCTGGAGTCGCGGGACAGTACTGGAGACTGGGCTACTGGTAGAGTGCAGCGGCATCGCTTTCCAGACTGCATGGTGTACTTGCAGAACCAGATATGATAAGCATGGGGTGATGTACCACAGTGCTGTAACTTGTCATGAGTAGAATACAGGGTTGTCTGGATCAATTTATGCATTTATGCAGCGGTCAACATCAAGGGCAAGGTCAAGGTCAAGTTCAAGGTTAATGATATGCAAATGTATACAGTTCAAGTTCAACGATAATATATGCAAATGTATACAGTTCAAGTTCAACGATAATGTATTCATAACTGGATTAATGTAGTCATAACTGGATTAATGTATCCATAACTGGCAAATGGTGAACATCCTATTAGTCTATGGTAAAGAAGCGCCACCTAGCGATTTACTCAATGTCCGCAGATGCCTGCTGGTGATGCCTCAGTGAAAGCGCCACCTTGTGATACGTACAAAAACAACAACTGTATCTGGCAAGTTTTTAAGAATACATTGGGGACAATAGACCTGACTGAAAGGGTATTGTGCGTCCTGTGCGATGGGGGTACAATCATGTTAATTTTGAATCCTTGTCTAGTCTAAGGCACTATAAGGACTAGGCTAACAATAAGTATAAGTAAGACGACAGTTTTGGGGGGTATATCAAACGTTGGGAGTTTATTTACACAAAGAATGCAAAAATGTTCTCCCACACACATACACAAGTCAACTATTCTACACATAAACTGTAAAGCTAGAGTTATCTACACATTTGGTAAGTACAATGGTTACACTTAAAAGGTATTGTCTACATATTGGAAAGTTTTTAACCGAACGTTTAATCTCTACATCTACATCATACATCTACATCATATATAAAAACAATGTTTCAGTCGACAAAATGTTTAGAACAAAGGCGATTATGTAGGATACATACATATATAGGAAGTGATCTTACTTCAGATTGTAGATGTTTGTTTATCCAAATCGTTTGTCCAAAAAATCAAGTCCATTTTCCGTGCAGTTGTCAATGTAATCCGTCCGGTTTCTTCATCTTCACGCTCATTGTCCCGCATTCGATCCTTGAGTTGACGCGAGGACCCTGTGCCATCTGTATTGAAGACGATCGTCGAATGGTCCGCGGAGGTCTGTTGTCAATATTGTTGTACTAACACGCATGGCGCGCCGGTACAGTTCAATCAGATGTGCCATCTCACTGGGGCGGCCGTCGTACATATGCTGTATGGAATATCGGGTGGACAGGTTTTCCGTCCTAACCCTGACGATAGACGTGACAATGCAGCGGAATTCCATGCTCGGTGGCCAAGAGTTGTTGAATGCATTGTAAGCGTCGAGAAGACTTATGATATCTGACTCGTGTGGCAAAGGTCCTGGTCCGCTAACCACGATTGAGGTGCACTCTGTAGGCTCCACGAAATCGAACGAGGTTTCCGTCTGAAGGTCATTGAGGACGGCATTGGTGTAGGGCCAGTAAAACACCAGGTCACACGGTCGAACTGCTCGCAGATTCAACGTTGGAAAGATAGGTACTTGCATGTAGATGTAGAGTTTGTATCCAGTCACCATCATTCTGACATCATCAAAATACCTTCGCAGATCGTTTTGGAAGGCTACGGGGACCGGAAGGCTAAGGATGGCATCCTCAATCCGTCCCCTATCTCCTGCAGACCTCCTGAACAGGCTGTCTGCGATCAGGTTGATGCAGAGCGAAGAGACTCGTAGCAGGCATAGCGACAGAACAGCGTGGACAGGCGTGGATGACAGTCACAAAAAGTGTGAGGCCGAACATAGGGGTAGCGTTTATTTTAAAAGAATCAAGGACAATAGGAAGACGCTCTCCGTGTGCGGGAGAGACAAACACTTGACGAGTGCGAACCCACCAGGACGAATTTGAAAAGAACAGTAAAATAAAAAGATTCTGAAGTGTGCATTTGAATGAATCAAGGACAATAGGAAGATGGTTCACCCGAAGGTCTGTTTGCAGGGAAGACAAACACTCGACTAGGCAAACCCGCCAGGAAGAGTTTGAAAAGGTCCGCAAACCCCATCTGTTCTTATCTGGCAAGAAATGTCTAAATATGGTCATGGGAAAGGAAAGAGAGTCGTTTTCGGAAAATGCATAGGAACAAATGAGTAGATGTAGGATTGTCCACTGTGTGCAGTCGAACAAACAACACGGACAAGATCGTTTGAGGAGTTGGGGGGGACAGTGTTTACGCTAGCGGCTAAGCATACAGCTAACATACCCTGACACTGCGACACAAAAAATAATCGTGGTAACAACAGTTTTCAGACATGGAGTCCTTCCCTTTTTTAATTAAAATAAACGATATAGTCACACTGTACATACCTACGTTATATTACAACATTACGTTACGGTACTAACAATTCTGTGGCTATGGAAAAGCCATGCGTCACTATAAACAATGTTCACGTATGTGGGGGTCCTCCTGATTGTAGCTCTGAATACCGCTACTATATGTACACACACACACACAAACGCAGACTATGTTATACAAAATAGTCGTGAAAAAGCTAGACTTTTCAGACATTGAACAGTACGATTAGTATCTACACTGGTGAAACATTTCAATCACGATTGTAACATCGTTCTTCTGTACACGTTACATTGTCAGGATTATAAAAGTTAGTTTTGATGACATTCTTTCTGTCTCTAGGGAGTGTTGGACGTCTCCAGTTCAGCAACGTCACTGTAAAAACAATGTTTAAGAGTCTGTAAGATTTGATGTACGTGCGAAAAAAAAAACGATAAAAAGAACTGTAGAAAAAAAAAAGAAAGAAAGAAAAAGAAAATACAGTTTTTATGTACTTGTGAAAAAAAAAGAAGGAAATCTAAAACCTAAGAAAAGAACTGTAGGGAAAGAATACAATCTTACCTAATGTCAGAGAAGTCCCGCTCACCCTCGCTTTCGGAGGAAATCACGATGACTGAATGACTGCTGTCACTAGTGATGTCCAACTGTTCGTTTCCTCCCGAGGAACTGTCAAATGTCCCAGACAACAAGTCGAACTCGGTGAAACTTTCAGACTTTGGGGTCCGGTGCATCAGTTCAAAACCGCTGGGCATTGGAGGTGTTGGGGTTGGCCCGAAAAGATGGTCAAAACTGTCTGAATCGGCATGGATGTCATCCCGACTCGTGTCCGACAACTTGTCCTGCATTTCCGGCTCACTGACACTGTCGGACGATATTACAATGGCCTCACAATTGGTCTCTTTAGGCGTAGAATGATACAAAGGTATCGGTTCAACGTCGCGTGACCCGTAAAGTTTCAAATTATCCGTGGCTGAGAAGTACGTGTCGTCTATACTTCTGTATGCCTTTTCAGTCTCGTCCAACAGACGGCACATTTCATATTCACCCTCTGAGTCAAGCAAAGATTGGTCGACGTGAGTAATTCCAGTACCGTCTGAAGTATTGGTTAACTGTTTCTCAGTACGATCCAAGAGCTCCAACATTTCATATTCACCCTCTGAGTCAAGCAAAGATTGGTCGACGTGAGTAATTCCAGTACCGTCTGAAGTATTGGTCAACTGTTTCTCAGTACGATCCAAGAGCTCCAACATTTCATCTTCATCCTCTGAGTCAAGCAAAGATGGGTCAAGATAATCCTTTGTACTTGTACTGGCGAATTCATTGACAGCCATCGTTTTAACCACAAGGTAGCAACGTGATAGGCAATCGTGCACTAAAGAGCTGGACCTTAGGAAGAATGACAGAGCGCATGTGTATTTAAGAGAAGGATTCACACACACGTTATCTATTTTTGGTGTGACGGTCAGGGGATCTATGAATGGGTACCTTCTGACCTTTAGCTAAGAAGTGTTTGGGGAGTATGTTTGCTGCAGAATATCATGAATACCATTTTAGAAAGATGCTTCCTTAGAAACGATCTGTGTACACACGCAGCTGTGTACACAGTGTGTCCACTGACGTTACGTTTTATCTGTACTGCCGGAACGTGTAACTACCATTTTCAACTCTACAGCCGAGCTGTCCGGACGTACGAGCAGTTGTGTACTCATTTCAAAAAATGGATAACTCCAAAGGGGATGGTGGTGGACGAAAAGGACGTGTAACTACTCTTTCGGTCAAGGGCAAGCATCTCAGGCGAAAGTCAGAGATGGATTCACGTCGACAGAGCGAAACTCAGGACTCTGCCATAGCGGGTACTTCTTATGATCACCCTCCACAAACAAAGAGAAGACGTTTCGCTACGGAAGATAATAGGTATGTTTTAATCGTGCATCTATGTAGCAGTCTAGATATTGTATGTTTTAATCGTGCATCTATGTAGCAGTCTAGATATTGTATGTTTTAATCGTGCATCTATGTAGCAGTCTAGATATTGATGTTAGAAGTAAGTTGACGATAAGAAGTACATTCTCTTGCAATGTACGTAAACATAGACGTCACGTAGTAAAAGCGTCTCCTGGCGAAGCATGTAAATATTGCAGATTGTTGTAACGTGTATGACTGTCACTGCCGACGTGGTTAAAGCGCCACCTGGCGAAACACAAAAACCTAGCAGATATTTATTTGGGGTACTCCTTTTTTTTTCTTTACCACAGTTCTGTGGAGTCGGACGAAGACACACAGCCCGAAATTATTGTCATATCGAGTAGTGAAGACGAGGAGACGCAAACCGATCAGGATGACGATTCGACAACTTCATTCAACATCAAAGAAGTCAGACAGAACCCCGTGAAAAAGTTCAACACAAATCAAGTGACGATGACTGCAACACCGAATAGGGATGCAGACGTTACTGACCACGATTCAATCATGCTGATGTTGAACGGAATGTTTGAAGGGATGATCAATCACGTTGGGAAGAATTTGAAAAGCGACGAGGACAAAATGAGAATCGTGGTGAATTCGGACCGCCTTGATCGCCCCGTTTCTACGTGTTTAGTTAACAAGTCACAAATGACTCCCGAGTTGATTCTTTCCGAAGTAGAGCGCGTCACGCAGTCCCACGAAGACTTTGTGATTGACGATTCATTTTTTGTGAACCTGGTCAGCGTTCAGATGCCCGAGAAAGGAAGCGGATATCATTCCTTCTTCTGCAACATCGACAAGTTCCTACAAAATAAAACGTGTATCATTCAAATCAAGAACGAAGACACGCTGTGCTGTGGTAGGGCGCTTGTCGTTGCGAGGGACCGATTGGAGAAAGGAAATGACCCCAGGGTGGAATCGAGGTGGAACAGCGTTCGTCTGGGGCGAAGGATCCAGAGCGTTTTGGCAGAGGAACTGTACGAGTCTGCCGGGGTGGCCAAGGGACCTTGCGGCCTACCCGAGCTTCAGAAATTTCAGGAGCTGTTATCGGACTACCAAATCATCGTTGTCTCTGCAAAAGAGTTAAACCGGGTCGTATTCAAGGGTCCAAGCAAAGAAAAAAGGCTCTTGCTCTATCTCATCAGAGGACATTATCACGTCATCACCAGCCTGCCGGCATTTTTCGAGCGGTCGTACTATTGCTATGACTGTAACCGTGGTTACAACGATAGGAAAAATCATAAATGCGAGAACATTTGCAAGCTCTGTGGGAAGGCCAATTGTCCTCCGAGGAACGAGTGGACGTACTGTGCAGACTGCAACAGGAACTTTCAATCACAACAGTGTCACGACAATCACAAGACCCCTGGCGATGCCAACAATTCGCAAACCATGTGCAACTACAAGGTCAGATGTGCGAAATGTCTGAAAGTTTATTGTCGAGATCAGAAGAAGAAACACGAGTGTTTTACACGAGAATGTCGACACTGTTTTGAGACCGTTGGAGACGACCACTTGTGCTACATACAGAAAATTCCTCGACAAGAAAGAAAGCCTGAGAAGGACAAGGACTTGGCGGAAAGACTTCGGAAGGAGCACGAGAGAAGAGAGGTGGTCATCGCGGACGATGCGCAACTGCTGGAAGAAGATTGTAAAAATGGAAGGTTGCAACGCGTGGATCTTGACAACGGAGAGAGCGTGTATGGCATCGTTGTGGAGACAGAGCAAGATTTCCAGAGACATTTTGGAACGCGTACTGCGAAGATCAACCGTCCCAAAAGAGGCAAGAAGACCAGAGAACAAACTGAACAAGAGGAAGATGCAGGTAGTGAGGGGGATAGTGATGATGAAGAAGAATACAATGAAGACCCGAACGTAATCTATTCGTTTGATTTCGAATGTGAGCAAAGCAGCGGTGAACACAAAGTGATCTGTGCTGTCGTGAAGTGCGAGCATGACAAAGGTGTGATCATCTTCAGAGGGCTGGAGTCCTGTAACCTCTTTTGCCGATGGTTGTTTGACGGATGTCACGAAGACAGTACCTTCATGGCACACAATTTACGCGGTTACGACTCCCACTTTATCATCAACTACTTGCTAGACAACGTTGTGGTACCCACTGTCATCTACAACGGTGCAAAGATCATGGCCATGCAAATACCACAGATGAATATCAAGTTCATAGACAGTTTCAATTTTCTGCCTATGGCTCTCGCCAAATTCCCGAAAACGTTTGGATTCGAAGACATTTCTAAGGGTTATTTCCCCCACCTGTTTGTTTCAACGGAAACCATGAACTACAGAGGACCCATCCCCGATCTTCACTACTATGACGTGGACTCCATGTCGCCGGAAAAGCGAGAGCAGTGCATGGCGTTTCATGCAGAGAAAGTGGCAGAAGGGTACGTGTTCGATGTTGTTGTAGACAATACAAAATACTGTGTCACAGACGTGTTGGTGATGGAGAGAGGGATACTGGCCTTCCGCGACATCTTTTGGCGTGCCACAAACATCAACCCCTTCGACAAAGCGATCACAATAGCGTCGGCCTGCAGTCAAGTGTTCCGCACCAACCACTTGGAACGTAACACCTTGGCGATAGTACCGGCGATGGGGTATCATCACCGACAGCTTCAGAGCAAGGAGGCCATCGACTGGCTCAATTTTGTGGCCTTTCGTGATAACGTGAGCATCCAGCATGTCAATAACGGCGGAGAGAAGAAAGTGTGTGGCAGAAAAGTCGACGGCTTCTGCGAAGAGACCAACACCGTGTACGAATACAACGGATGTTTCTACCACGGATGTCAGAAATGTTTCAAGCCACACACGGTGAACCCCGTAAACGACACCGCTGTGATCGAGCTGTACGCCGACACCTTGCGAAAGAAGAAAATGATACGAACAGCAGGTTTCGTCTACGTGGAAATGTGGTCTCACGAGTTTCAGGAAATCAGAAAGAGCGACCCTCGCTACGACGACTACCGTAAGAACTGTCCACGTCCTTGCGAGACACCTGCGGAGAGGGATGGGATAAGTTTCTTAAACGCTAGGGACGCGTTTTATGGAGGCAGAACAAACGCCAGTCGTCTGTACTACAAGGCAGACGAGGCAGCGGGTGAGACCATTCAGTACGACGACTTCACGAGTTTGTACCCGTGTATCAACAAATACGGGAAATATCCGACGCATCACCCCAAGATCATTGTCGAGAACTTTGACGAGTTGAGCAACTACTTCGGAGTGATCAAGTGTAAAGTGTTGCCTCCCAGGAAGCTGTATCACCCCGTGCTACCGGATCGTGTTGGAAACAAGCTGATGTTCCACCTGTGTCGAAAGTGTGCCGAGACTCGTCAGCAAACGCCGTGCCTTCACTCTGACGACGAACGCGCCTTCGTGGGTACCTGGGCCACGGTCGAACTAGAGCTGGCTGTGCAGAAGAATTACAAGATTGTCCAGATGTACGAAGTACACCACTTTGAACATTCGTCAAAAGAGTTGTTTCGCGGCTACATCGACGCGTTCCTTAAGATTAAACAAGAGGCGTCTGGCTGGCCTCTCTGGGTGATCGAGGCTGAAGATAGGCCTGCAGCAGAAGGGCGATACCTGCAAGAGTACGAGATGAACGAGGGCATCAAGTTGACAAGAGCCAACATCGAAGTCAACCCCGGTTTCCGCGCGTTGGCGAAGCTCATGTTGAACAGCTTCTGGGGGAAGTTCGGACAACGCAACAACTTCCCCCAGACGAGATTCATCACATCGCCTGACGAGTTTTTCGGACTCTTGGGGTCGACAGATCACGTCGTCAATAACATTCACTGTGTTTACGAGGAAGTTGTAGAAGTAGAATATGTACACAAGAAAGAGCTCATTCCGGAAGCTTCCAACACCAACATATACATAGCAATCTTCACCACTGCCATGGCCCGCATCAAGTTGTACGAATCTTTAGACAGGCTTGGAGATGCAGTATTGTACTATGACACAGATAGCATAATATACAGATGCGACGGGGATAATCACCTTCCCCGTGGTGATTATCTCGGGGATTTCACCAACGAGGTAGAGGGTAACGGTGGGTACATCACAGAGTTCTGCAGTGGAGGACCCAAGAACTATAGCTATGTCACCGCTGATGGTACCACCGTAACAAAAGTCAGGGGTTTTACTCTGAACTTTAAGAACCAGAAGCTAATCAACTTCCCCGTCATGAAGGGTATGGTAGTCAGTGATTCCCCCGAATCCGTAGACGTTGTCAATGACCACAAGATCGTGCGTGATAAGAAATCAAAGAAAGTCTTGAGCAAGCGCGAAGTCAAGAAATATAGGTTGGTGTATGACAAACGGGTGATACAGGAAGACTTCAATACTCTACCCTATGGGTATTAGACAATCGTTAAGGTCTGAGCGATTCGTGTGATGATGATGGTGATGTGTTGGTGCTGATGATATTGTTGCATGTAAATAAAACATTCATGAACTGTGATACTATCTGGTCTGTCTTTTGTTTGGGTATGCTCATTCTAAAAATTGAAATCGTATTAGCACGGGTATAAATACAACTGTGTGCACGATCCGACTTCATTTGCAGTCATGGATGCGACTTTGTCCCATCCATTTCGCTTAACGTGTGCAGGAAGCTCTGGGAGTGGAAAGTCGTATTTTGCCAAAAAAACTACTGACGACCGCTGGTCATTGGATTAAGCCTGGGCCCTTCGAGCACGTGGTGTGGTGTTATGCAGAGTATCAGGAAACTTTACACCGCGAACTGGGTTCGAAACTAGGCTCAAAGGTACAGTTCGTTGAAGGTCTTCCAAACTCTTGGACCGACGTGATCAAACCCGGATGTCGCAACGTAATCGTCATTGACGACTTAATGATCGAGTCAGCTAAAGACGGCGATCAAAGGGTTACCAAATTATTTACTCGAGCCAGTCGTCATCGCGACACGTCGGTGATTTCCAAGGAGGCGGGGGAGGTCAGAAGATCCACACAAGTCTCGACCTAGTCTCGTGTTCTCGCGAGACTAGGTCACTCCTTGAGAAAGGTGTACAGTCGACACCGAAAATTTGGAGGTACGTGTTTTTACCTTTAAATACAGTCACTGATTGAAGAATTTCTACTAACTGTTAATTCTACGTGACTGATGAACCTCTTCAACGCTGTTCTACCAAGGGTTGAGAACCATCAGTCTGAATTCCTGTTACATCGTCCTGTTTAAGTCGCCAAGAGATCAAAGCATGATCACCACGCTGGCTCGTCAAATGTACCCCGGACACAGTAGATTTCTTCAAGAATGTTACGAAGACGCCGTGAACAAGACGACGTACGGGCATCTCTTCCTGGCTCTCCACCCCGAGTCGCCCCAAGAGTTGCGTGTGAGAACCAACATGCTGACGCCACGACCCTACGTGTACCTGCGGAAGAGATAAAACGTCATGTGGTCCACACCGAACTCTCATTTTGACTCGAGATGTCGAAACGTCTACATCGTCACGCCGACTGTCTCCGGGTGTTGAATAAGGCCAACCCGAAACTGCGGAAAGCCATTCTGTCGTCTGCGCCCAACGATCTCCTGAAGTCGATTTGTGACTGTTCGCACAACATCTTAGAGGGGAACATTCGCCTCACGCCCACCCAGAAGAAAGGTCTGGCTCGATACAAATCTACTCTTCGACAACTTGGAGATAACAAGCCCGTCACGGTCAGAGTGCTGTCGTCATCCACTCCTACTACGAAAACTACCACAGACACCGACGTCAAGGTCTCAGCGTCTCCAGCAACACCCAGCGCCAGCGGTAAAGACGAGCAGGACATACTGGACGCGTTTCCCAAGACGATGAAATCTCGAGCACGACAGATACTCAACGTCATCAAGCACAAGGGAGGTGATGTCATTAGTTATGACGACCAAGGACAACTGCTCTTCAACAAACAGGTCGTACCGGGCTCAAACGTGGCCGACCTGATTAGAGACGCCTTGCAAATGAGACGCGGTTTCAACCCCGTCGGGTGGCGGTCCTTTGCCAGGGGGCTGGCAAGCATCAACGCGCCCGAGGCTGCCATCCGAAATCCGATGCGACTGTCCGTGATTCATCGTCACAAGAGCCGTGCAGCCAAGGGTGAAGAACTTTCGGACGAAGATGACATCCCAACACGGTACACCCATCCCTCCACGACGTCGCGCTCCTAAGCGGACCCCCGCAAGCAAGGCAAAAGTTCACATCACGAAACCAGCCTCGTCTGCCAGACGGGCCTTCACCGAAAGTTCGTGGAATTGATATCGTTAACAAATAAAGTTCCCTGTGATTTCGGACACAGGTCGAGATACGATATTTACGAGTTATTCTCGTTTTTTCTTGACGTCTTTGAGCGTGTGTGAGAGTGAGTGAGTGTATTCAATGAATGATTGTTGAATAATAACGTAGACGGAGACAACGACCGATGTACGGTTTAGTAAGATTTTATTCGTCGCAACCTTCTACAGTAAGGACCAGTTTTAGGCTATCGTTATTCGTTCTTGTTAAAAAAGTATTAATCATACACACACACACACACACACACATACGAATCAATCGTCTACAGCTTATAATTTCTCAACGTTACTTAAGTTCGATCAAAGTCTTCTAACGCTCTGGCTATCTGTTGTACGACGTAGTCGAAGTCGACTACGGGCACATCGATATCAAAATGTCGCTCTATAAACTGTGCTACGGATACATCATTTAGTTGTAGGTAATCGGTATACATATCAACTATGTTACTCAACGAAATGTTTCGACATCTGTGTAAGAGGTAATACAGACAGTGCTGCCCACAAGTCGTCGAAAATCTAGCTTGTATCTGGCGATCGTTTCTAATCCACGGAAGACGAGTATTTCTACTCAAAAACCGTCCTATAGACCTAGGATAAACGCTGGGTGCACGTCCATAAGAGTCAAAGAATTCGCCTCGCCCTTCCTCGTCGAAATAGATGGCCAACCAGTGCTGGCCCGGCTTATCGCTTGGATCGCTGTTTACGATGTAAGCGCTAGGGAAGTCCGGTACACGCGTCGGCAACCGATCCGAAGCAAAGACTCCGCTCACGTAAGGGGCCGTTTTCTTGTCACTTCGCAAGACGGTGTACATCTGTTTCGTGTCCATCTCTCTAGTTGCTGTAGTCGAAGCTGACGTTCCTCTGCCTGTTATTTCCAGCAGGTTGTCAAACTCTCCAAAGACCACTGCGACCACCATTTTGCTCCAGGGCCTGGGCAAAGTGTAGCTCCAGGCTGAGGTTGCCCTGTCTGATCACGTTAAAGTGGTCTCCTTCCCAACCCCACACAGGTCTGGGCTGAGGTCGTAACAGTAGATTGTGTAACCCTTGTCGAAGTCGTCTCTGGCGATCAGGTTACCGCAGTCCTGGCCCAGTTTTCCCGTCGGTCCAAACAGGTTCATGTAACTTTGGATGTACTGCCCGCTGCTCGGGTGTCAGCGCCTTGTGAGGAACCTCCCGTCCGTCGACACAGAGACTGATGTGATTCAGATTGAAGTGTTGGAAGTTGTAGGGATTGGTTCCGTACGAACCTTGAAAGGCTGCATTGTCCACCAGGGCAATGACGACGCGCTTGGGAACCTGACCCAGGAACAGGTTGTCGTTGGACACCGTGTGGTTTCCCTGCGAGATGGTGAATGGCTTCACTTTAATCCTCCTGAGAGGGTACTTGGCCGTCTCCTTGTTGAGTCGACTTTCGATGGACAGCTGGTAGGTGGGTAGCAGATTGACCTTCCTGAGAAACACGGAAGCCTCGGTGATGACGACTTTGTACTGCTCTCCCCCCTGCGACATCAGACTGAACTTGTGTTTCGCTCGATGTAACTTGATTTTAACGTCGACTTTACTGAGCAAGTAACGATCTTGAAAGAAGAGGTCAACGTGCAGCGGCCCCACGAGGTCCAGCTCACGACTCTCACGGATCATGTTGGCACGCTTGACTAACCCCTCGTTCACTTCTGGATTGTCGCCTGCTGGGTAAGGATCGACCAGGTGAAGCTTTCCTGGCGTGTCTTGATAGAACAGGGAAGAGGTCAGTTGTGTCTGTTTTGCTTCAGAACCAAAGTTCAGCAGGGTTTCCAGGTAGGCGCGATAGGGGTAACAGTTCGTTGCGTCGGTTATCAGCTTTCCTCCAAGAGAGACGTCTACTTGTTGAAACAACGAATGAAGCCACAGATTGACGGGTCCCACCTTCGCGTCTCCTGGTAGGTCGGCACCGTTGGGTCGAACGATTTTGGCTCTCACGTACAGCTGAGTCTGGCTTAGGTCCGTAAATTCCTCTCCTGCTCCGGGAATGTCGAATTCTATCGGAGACGACTCGGCAAGACTGGCCACTGGATGATACTCTATCCATCGACCGTCCACAATGCTGGTCTGAGTGGGTGGCACTTCGAAAAGATCCAGTTCTGACTTTGTGCAGGAACACGACAGGGGATGAACGTGAGCCATGGTCTCGTTCTTTCTTCTTCTTCTTAGTCAAAGATATCGCGAGGGGTACGTCTTCGCTGTGCGGTGCCTCTCTTGCGACTGGTGGATGGATGTCGCGTTCTTCTTTTAAGTACCTTTCTGCCTTTAGAAGCGGTCCTTGCAACGCGTCCTTTGTTCTTTGCCGGCCGTCTTTTGGTCTTTGCTGACGGTCTGGAACTCGCCCTGCGTCCTCCACCACCTTTCTGATTCGGACCAGAAACCAATCGTTTACCCAGTTCTTTACCTCTTCGCTTTGCAGAACGTTTGACGTCTCGACCGTTCAAGACATCTTGTGCAAAATCTATACCGCTCCTTAAGGCATGTCTTCCGACACTTTTGGCCCCTCGTTTAAGAAGAGGGACTGCAGATCTTAGCAAACCTCGAAAAATGCCTCCCAGTCCGTATCCGCGCTGCATAGACCGTCCGCGATACACCGGCAATTGTCCTCCCAGCTGTCCAGACATCTTGTACTTAAGAAAAGTAGGAAGAGCGCCTCTGTCTGAAGTGAAGTGTTACGATCACTCGTCCTTGCTCAAATGGCACTGGTGAGCCTAAATCCGTTCTTATATCCACTTCAATCGTTTCGAATCGTTTCCTGGCCAGAGGAATGTAGTGCGGGGTCATGATGGGGTGATCCACAATGTCGCCGTCCTGTCCCTCGATCTTGATGATTCGTAACAGAGGGACCTTCACACCACCCACCAGACGATGTTGCACGACATCCCCGTATACGTACANTCATTCAGGGTCTTCAAGAGGTGCTGAATATTCTCTTAGTATCCTATAGGGATTTTTGACGATGTCGTATTCCCTATTACTTCCCTGCACCTTTTCGTCCACCACGTAAGACAACAGCGTGTTTTCGCCCTCTCGAACGTTACGCCAGCTGTGTGGATATTGTATCTCGACGAGCCCCACCTCCCACTCGCCCGAAAGTTCTATGGGGTGCGCCAGTTTGGTCCGATAGTTTGTGACGGTATTTTCTGGAAAGATATCCATACTACCGTCGCTGGGGAGCGTGACGTAAAACGAGTTGGCCATGACGAAGCGCCTCTCTGAAATGTCCGACGTGACGGTCGTGCGTCGGTATTTATCATATCGGAACCATGTCCTCTTCTCTCACCCAACTGTTAAACTTGTTGGGGTATCCTTTCCATTTGACAAAATGTTCCGTCTTCTTACCGCGTCGTCTCGTGTCTAGGATTTTCTCCACTTGATAGACGTCGTCGTCTTTCTTGACCACTTTCTGCAACTCTTACTTCGTAAAACGTCCCCTGTAACTTCTCTCCGTGATAATCTTGCACGCGATAAACGGGAGGATGACGGGCGATTTGTTCGTAGACGGTAAAGATCTCCGTGGTCCAGTTGGGTGTATAACCCTTTTCCATGCGCATTTTAGATTTGCTGATTCGAAACAAATCTCCTACTTTGAATTTAAATGGTGTTCTCCTTTTCAGCGGTTTTCGAGGTGTTACCTTCTCCGTACAGGGTATGCCACACGAGTCCTTCGTTCTTCTCGGTTACTTCTACAGGGGCTCTTTTGATGCTGCGGTGGTATGAATGGTTGTAGGCCTCCAAAAGATCGTCCAACACATCGATGTATCGGCGTGTGTTATTTGCAGTGAAATATTTCCACATGCGAGTTTTCAGAGTACGATTGAACCTTTCTACGACGCTTGCCTTTGTCTCCGCGTTGAATGTTGTGAAGAATTCGACGTTCTCTTTCTTTAAGAGTGTCTGAAAGTGACGATTCAGAAATTACCGTGCCTTGTTCTGTCTGCAACCGCCGGGGTTTTCTACCATCATCCAAGATGGACTGAAAGGCTTGAACCAGCGTTAAACCTTTCTTTTCCTTGATGGGAACGGCCCAGGCAAACTTTGATAACACGTCAATACATGTCAGTATGTAACGGTAGCCATCGTTGTGCTTAGCCAACGATGTCAAATCGGCAAGGTCTGCCTGCCACTGATTATTCAGGCCACCAACTATTACTCGGTTTTCTTAAATCTACGCCTGATCGGTTTGTGTAGGGTGTAGGTGTCTTGAGAACGTAACCACTCTTCCACTTGACGTCTCTTGATTCCGTATCGTTTCACAGCTCGATAGAGTTGGTCAACACTTCCATATCCGGCGGGGTTTTGGGGGTCATAGTAGATGTCTCGGAAGTTTCCCTCGATGGATTTTGATTCGGTGTCGTCTCTGGTTCTTTTCGCTTTCCGAACCCTCTTCCTGCGATTAGTGGAAACCATCCAAGTCCCTTAAAGAAGACGAAAAGTCGTCCGCCAACACACATGCAAGCGCAGTGCAGTCGCTCCAATGCCTTCAAGAAGACTTCCCTCAGCTGATACACGTTTCGCAGACACCCCATGGGTAATGTTTCTTGTAGCTGTGTCACTTTCAAACTGACCATCTGCGCGGTGCAGAGGTGCTTTTTATACGTCGAGCGTTCGGTGTCTCTGATTTCTTCCGCACTCATCTCACAGCAGTTTTTACAGAGTCGGTGTACAAACCAGCCGGGTAGTCGACGTCTACACCAAAGACACTGTTCGTCCTTTTCAGCGCGAAGGTAGTCGGGTTTTAAAGATAACACACAACGTTCACATTTGTCAGTGTGTGTCTCACACAATATCCGACATTGTGTATTGCATCGATTACAAAACTTCTCTACACAGTAACACGGTTCCGCGACCTTCTTACTCGACATGGCTGTCCTACCAACTAACCTACCTATGTGTTTGCACATACTCTTTTATACCCATTCACACAACCCGTTACGTATTCGTGCATACAAGCATACCCATTCATCATTCCAAACACTGAGACGGACACATTCTTTTCACTTCAAATCATCTTCCTGTGTACATGGCACAGGTACCTTTATTACATATCGGTGACAAACCTAACACTAGAACTGGATTCCCTTGAGCACTTCCGAGTCCAGCGGAGATTTCCCGTTGACCACGGCGCTCATGATCCAATCTACAGCCTTCTTCTTGCCCTCCACCGCCTGCCATTGCTGCAGAGTCAGGCTGATCCCTTTCTCCGTACGGAGTAGGTCGTGGTCGTCGTCGGTGGTGGTGTCACTGGACCTGCGCTCATACTGCCACAACCCCACCGACGGCTGGCCGTCAATCAGCTCGACCACCGCGTATCGCAGATTTCCCAGGTTGAACATGTGCTGTTTTACGCTAGTTGTCGGAGGTAGAGCCGAAAAGGTGATGTCGTTGACGGCCTCGTAGATCCGTAGGTCCTTCAGTGTAGTCCACTGCGCTGGGGTGAGGCTCAGCCCTTTCTTCCCAGGTCTCAGGGTGGTTGGATCCCATGCCCTTGAGTAGAATTGTCGAACGGAAATCAATGGTCGATCCTTGAACACCCCGACCGTTATGAACACGTTGTCGTGTAGCGGCAGCCGTACCTCTGTCGAGTTCTCCCCCAAAGACGTGTGAAACCCGCCGGTGAAGAGGTCGCTGCCGCTGTCGTTGGTGTTCTGACGTGGAGGCGGTTCTTCGCCACCAACGATACTCGGGGTGAACGACGTGGAGGCCCTGGCGTTAACGACGTTCTGGGCCCGTCGGAGAGTCTCTACACTGCCGCCGTTGCCAAAGGTGTTGGTGTCGCGCTGGTCGGTCGGAGTACTCGGCCGTGCTGATGGCTGGTCCTCCCCGTCCTTCAGCAGCTGTAGCAGCTCCTCCAGCTCTAACGTGTCGTTGAGATCGGTCTCTTCGGGACAGGGCTGCGGTTCCTCGAACACCAACTTTCTCCTCGCCTTGCCGCCACCGGTACCCTTCTTCAGGGATGCCTTGCGCTTCTGCTGCTGCTTCTTCTGCTGATACGTCATGGTTCGGGTCTGGATCTTCTCTCTCGCTGTCGACGGATTTGTACGAAAGGTTTGTCTCCGCAAGTGGGACTGGTTTGTCGCCGGTTTCTGTTGCCACTTTATACACTTTTCTGCCAGACACCCACAGACCGTCCACCAATCGCCGTGAAGTACGTCACCTACTTCACATGCAAAGTACATGCAGACCAATCGACTACCCCGGATCCACCAACGCTTGCCGTGCGGCCAATCAGCTACTACAGAGGTTGACGTTAACCACGCCCACGACAGGTTACCCAGGTAACCGGGTTCAAAAGTGCACACTGACCTTTATCTGACCTGTAATTTAGCTCATTAGCTACATTCCTGCATGCATCTGCATATCCTTAACATAAATCTGCATACTCGTTAACATAATGACGGTGACCTGTGACCTGCTCCGCCTCGCACCGCCTGCACCGCCTGAATAATGTACATCAGCGTGCTGACTACATACTACTGGCCCCGCTATCAGAATGGGTTCCCCAAAGTGTACAACACAAGTATTACGTCTCCACTGTAATGTATATAGAATATATCATGTACAATACGGTCAAGAATTCAGTGGCTTTGTTTCGCTAAGTTAATTGAGTTATAGGCAATGGCTAACATTAAAATACCAACCTTTCCGTACGACAGGTAGTTTCCAAACAACACCACAGGATTAGGGCCAGGGATCCCCAACTTCTTGAATGTGGAATACGGCCAGACTAAATACCTACAATTGTTAAACAAAAAGAGATAGATTAATGTTCTCTGATAGAGTCTATTATATATAGTTGCTATTATATATTTCGTATCTTTATATGACAATTAGAAATAATATCTCACCGTGTCCATAATTATACACACTACCTAAAAGAATTTACCATTAACTTCTATTCTGCCTATCACAGGATAGAATTCTTTCCATCGAGCAATCTCCATCGATTGGTAGTATCATGAAGTAGTGTGTTTGTGGCTGCAGACATAGACAAAGAGACCGCATATAATTTATTTAAAAAGTAAATAGATTAAAAAGAAATAGGACAGCATAGTTAGCACGTGTATGACCAAAGTTCTAAAAGTATATGTTTCCGTCGGTAAGGAAAAAGTTATAAAAATTATATATACGGGGTCGTTGTCTGTGCCTGAGACAAAACTGCGAAGTAAAAAAGTCCGACATATTATAGTAAAACGTTGAACTTAACTCCAGCACACAGTTTACAGAGAGATCAAATTTTCAGCGACCACTGTCGCCTTCATCAGGATAATTAATGACCGTAAACCGTAACTCTTTCGAGATCACGTTGTGAAGTGATTGGTCATTAATTATCCTGATGAAGGCAACGGTGGTCACTGAAAATCTGATCTCTCTGTAAACTGTGTGTTGGAAAATAGTTCAATGTTTTACTATGATTACTACCAACACAGATGAACTTTGATGATATTCCGACATATTCTTTGCGGTGAGAAACAATAACTACTCACATGTACAAGAGAACCGCAAACAGTCCGACCAGCCCCCAGGTAGACGAAAAAGGCAGCAGTTCTAACATGTCTGCTGTTCTCAGTGATCAGATCCGTTCTGCTCTATGTCTGGATGCTGTTAAAGCTTTAGAATGCGTGACCAGTCACCCGTAGAGCTGTATTCAAGGACGCTGTACGGACTACGTGCTATTTACATCGTCAATTGTTGGGCTGGCAACACGTGATGAATATTCAGCGTCATGGGGAGGGTTCAGTAAATGAACTTTCCAATGAAACAAATGGTTAAGTTATGAAAATGTAGCCATTTACGTATATTTCGAACCTTAAGCCTTACCCCAACTACAAAGCTAGGTTTGTGGAATTTTTTTAGTTACCATATGTGCTAAGTTTACTTCGACAGAACTACAGGCTAAAGGAAACCTCAAATTTTCACGCCTTGTCTCGAATGGGTCAGGCCAGCCAATAAGAAAGTAGGGCCATTCCATTAAGGCGTCAGTTACAGGGGAAAAGACATGGGATCTGGAAAGGTTATTGGAATATACATTCCTCTATTTTACCAGCAGAAAGCTGACCTTTCTGAGAACAAATGCACATTCAAATACGCTTTAAAAACCAGGATAGCCGACAGTTTGTTTTGAGGAAATACAGAGTATTTCACCCCATCCCTCTCCCCATAAAATGGACTGTTTCATACTCACACATGTACAAACGGACAACGAAGTAAATCAAAACAAAACTACAGTATTGGCAACTTATCCCAAACTAAAAGGGACTTAATTTTTTTTTTCTTTACAAAAATAGACTCTTCCAGCGACACACTGCACATAATAAAACCAAAAAAAAAAAAGAAATTAAAAAAAATCCCTCTATTTACGCATTGAGTCTTCCAGTGACCCCTAGGTTATGTTAAGGATCAAAATATGGTTTGAAATTGTTTTCGTACATGAGATGGAATTTCCGCTGGGGAAAGTGATTCCATGCTTATCTCCGAGGACTCTAGCGGTCAACCAGTCTGACATTTAGGTACATCACAAACCAACAAGGTTTCGTGGGAATACCATGAATTTTAATCAAATCAACATAAATATATTGCATTACGGTACTCACGTGACAGAAACAATCACCATCATCAGGCATCACAACGGAGATCTAAACAATGTTTTTTTTTCAAGAAACTGTCAGAATATTTGTAGAAATCGTTTACCGCCGTACGGAATTAACGGGCTAACTCACTTGTGGTGTCGATGGGAGCTTTAATAAAACATCCATGCCTCAAGAAATCAGTTATTATTATGATCTCAGTTATTATTATGATCAGTTATTATTATGATCAATCATTATTATGATCACTTATTATCATGACCATTTATTATTATGATCACTTATTATGATCAGTTATTATTATGATTAGATATGAGTTGTATTATTATTGTTATTATTTCATTATTATGATTAGTATTATGTAAGGGATGGTTCACTACATTGTACATGTATGTTTATTGTTTTTGATATATGAATAAGAGAAAAAAAGTTACAAAAAATTATGATGATTAGTAAATATCCATTTAATTTGACCGATTTATATCCATTTCTTTGACATTTTGCGTTGGACAGTAATATAATATGACTGATAATAGTTTTTTTTTTACCTTTCTTTAATGAGAAACTCGAGTCGGTCCGAAGACGCTTTCTATTCTCGCAAAGACGTTAGTTGTAATTTTGTAGATTTTTATAAATAACACGATCTTTTGTATATGATGCAAACAATAACTTCTAATTTTACATTACACATCGACTCATTTATGTAATTTTATAAAGTCACTATTTGTTCCTACTTATATTGTACCAGATTATACCCAATTGACTTTAACATTTATGGGTAGATAATTCGTAAATAACAATTAATATTGAGTTCATGATTTAATCATTAAAATGCCTAAAAATAACAAAAATGGATGTTTTAAACAATGCATAAAAACGTAAATCATGAATAAGAAGAACATTAAGCACAACACATTTTCTGGAACATTTTAATCGTAGCAAAACAAGTTCGACGGAAACTAATGGATGGACATTTGACAAACAGTTAAAATGCTATTTTTATGTTTTTACGTATATGTACTTTTCTGATACATCTACACCTAATACTTTTGTGGTGTTTCAACACCGATGTATAGTGAATTCCACTATTATGCATGTACCTTTCTGTTACAAGTGTATGCTTGACCTCAGCCATACATAGAACAAGTCTTTGCCCAAGATTGGCACTGCAACGTCTGATTATGATAGAACTGCCATTACAGACAGAACTTGTGACATTTTGGATCGGATTCAGTGGTAGCCTGAGACTCGCCATGTTTTGTCTAATCACTGCTACTGTTCATAACTGTTTATAAGTAGGTATATAGTTTGTATTGAACACAATGACTTACTGAGACTGGCCCTGCCCTGACTTTTTATAACCGCTGACGATTATAGTTGTTTGTGGTGATATAGTAACTGAGTTTTTTCAAACAAAATATATTTTTAATATTCAAATCTCGATATTGGTAGTTAGACAGAGGGTTGCTTTGCACTTAATAGCCATGATCTTTTGATCCCTCAAAACAAGAAATCGGAGCGCATTAAGGGGATTTTATAGCTTCACTATTCAGCTATTTAACCACAAGGGTGACTCAGGGGTTTCGTGGCTTAAAATACCAACGAAAGTGAACTGTGGCATTATCGTAGCAGTTCTTAGCACTTCCAAATTGGCTACTAAAAGACCCTCTAGAAGAGATGGAGCTATGGTGACTAGCTTTAGGGTGATAATTGGTCTCTGTATTGTCAACGATTATTGATGGAGGTGTAGGAACAAGGGATAAGGGCGTCGAGGCTTTTGTATTAACAAGCATGGTTTGCTCCTTACAGACCAGGTGTTCAGGATTGATATCTTTCAGCATGTGTCCCAAGAAATTTTGAGGTTGAGCACATCTCATTTGATGTTCAAATGAATGAGACCCGCTCATTAGAAGTCTGAAGGGAACCATCTGACAGTCACATTGCCAGGGGTTAAAGTTAATGTCTACCTTAGAAGTAAATACCAAAATGTAATAAGTTGACGGGGGAAGGGTGGATACCTGGTTGATGCCCAGGGTCAAATGGTTTAGCTTGGGTAGATTTAGGAAAGTACCAGCCTGAATATTTGATATCTTGTTGTGGTTCAAGAACAGACTCTGGAGCTGGGGAAAATCAGAAAATGTGCCTGATTGAAGATCTGTTATCTGATTGAAGTGCAGATACAACGTTTGGAGCTGAGGCAGATTTAAGAATGCGCTAGAGGATATCTTTGTTATCTTGTTCCTATGCAGTACCAGACATTTGAGACATGGTAGATTTGAAAATGTACCAGACTGAATGTAAGTTATGTTGTTGTGATTAAGATACAATTTTAAGAGATGTGTTAGCTTTGAAAATGTACTCGACTGAATGTTACTTATTTGGTTATAATTTAAGAACAGCACTGTCAGTTTTGGAAGATGGGAAAATGTTTCAGGGTGAAGATGAGTAATCTTACCCAACGTCAAACTTAACCAATTAAGCTCGGATAGGTTTGGGAAGCAGCCGATGTTAGAGATTCGACTGTCACCAAAGTTTAAATTTTCCAAGCTCTTATACCTTAAGAGCACATTCATCTCTGACTGACTCAAGGTTTTAAGTGTGTTACATCTCAGGTCCAAAAAACGTACAGATGTCGGTAGGTCCTGAGGGATACTGGTGAGATTTAGACTACGACAGTCACAGTGTGGATGTAAATCCCCTATACAGTTGCAGACGGCTTCTGGTATGTAGGGTTCATTCAGAATAATGAGTAGGAAAATCATAATCTCCTGGAACTTTTTCGCCATGTTGTTGTGTCACCTGGATAAAAGGCAGCAAAAGTGAAACAAACATACAAAAACTCTGCTACGATTACATAATGTGATTAGAGCAATTCAAACAGAGCACTAGAAAGGGACCGATATTTGCTTTAGAGCAAATTCAGCATGGCTCCACCACATTTTACCACATGGCAGGGAAAGAAGGAGAATACAAGGGAAACAATGTTTTACATCAATATAACTATAGTATGAAGTGACATATAACTACGAATACAACAGTTGGATAGCTATCCCCCACATCATTGATTAGTATTTGTATTTGCATAATGCAAAGTGTTTATTTTCAAGATAAAAAAACGTTTATGCCCCACATTCTAAATGCTTTTGCAGGAAAGTTTGACAAACCTACCAAAACACTTCAATGCAGAAACTACTTTTAACAGGGTATGCAGCTGATCATGGAGTTAACTCTACCGTGGCCGACAAGAACAAAATTTTACACCGCAACTTTTGGTGTTTTACACCGCAACTTTTGGTGTTTTACACTGCAACTTTTGGTGTTTTACACTGCAACTTTGGGTGTTTTACACTGCAACTTTTGCTGTGTTTTACACTGCAACTTTTGCTGTGTTTTACACTGCAACTTTTGCTGTGTGGAAAACTTACACCCCTCCCCTTTTATAATGGACGGTCCCCCTGTCAGGTCAAAGGTGACAACGATGGCATGCAAATTACGTCGACTGAGTTATCCTTTACGTGCATAAGTTTTTTAGAGGAAAAGCTTGGCTACGTTGTGACGTTAGTTTTTTTCTAAAGGTTTTTCTAGCTTTGGCCTATAGACCGGGATAAATTTAAAAATGTTTCGACCAGGTCCAGTGATTACAAATTATGTTGCTTTTTGCTGCCATGCGTCACAACAAATTTATCAAGGACGTCAGATATCCAGCTCCAGACATCAACAGCAATGACATAAATTTTCTGCAGGTTAGTTCATTATTATTGGGTATGGACATCGTTTTTCTTCATTTTAATGTCCCTAGACGTCAGCTTGTGACTTGCCGCCGCCATCTTTGTCACCTTTGACCTGACAGGGGGACCGTCCATTATAAAAGGGGAGGGGTGTAAGTTTTCCACACAGCAAAAGTTGCAGTATAAAACACAGCAAAAGTTGCAGTGTAAAACACCAAAAGTTGCAGTGTAAAACACAGCAAAAGTTGCAGTGTAAAACACAGCAAAAGTTGCAGTGTAAAACACAGAAAAAGTTGCCGTGTAAAACACCCAAAGTTGCAGTGTAAAACACCCAAAGTTGCGGTGTAAAACACCAAAAGTTGCGGTGTAAAACACCAAAAGTTGCGGTGTAAAATTTTGTACTTGTCGGCCACGGTATAACTCAATCAAATTCCAAGAGCCAATCAGCAAGAAGATTAGGGGAAAGCTGCATGCCTATTGGTTCTTGTTCTGCATGCCAGACTGATGACTCATGGCTAGTCATCCCCAACTATATCATAAATTGTGACAGAAAACGGTTAAAAGTCCCAAAAGTTTAAGGGAGGGTATGCCAAAAATTACAATTAATTGTTCTTGGTAGATATATAAAGCATACCCACACCAAATTCCAGATGATTCGAGTGTAATAACAGGTCGTCAGGACCCAAAATGTACAGATTTTGTCCGAATATAGCCAAAAAGCCATATTTTACATAATTTTTAAGTAATGTATGTCAAAAACGTGAATTGCATTCTTTGGACATGTGTCCAAGGTATCCCCATACCGAATTTCAGGTCCATTGGATTTACTATTAGGGCACATGCAGGAGCAAATAGCCAAAAAGCCCTATTTTACACAATTGTTTAGTAATGTATGTCGGAGGCATGAATTGCATTCTTTGGACACGTGGCCAAGGTATCCCCATACCAAATTTCAGGTCCCTTGGATTTAATATCAGGACACAGGAGCCAAAAATGTACATTTTTTGTCCGAAAAAAGCCAAATAGCCCTAATTTTCTCAATTTTTAAGTGGTTTATGTTTAACGATTCAATGAGGTTTTGTAGAAATATGTTCAAGTTATCCCCAGGCCAAATTTTAGGTCATTTGGCTTTATTACCAGGGCTCCAGATCCCAAAATGTATATTTTTGTCTGAAAAAAAAAGGAAAGAAAAAACGCCTGGGGTGTTGACATGCCAAATTGCATGTCATTTGGCCCAAAAATGAAGAAATTGAATCGATTTAACGAAATGGCAGGAGAAGAAGAAGGAAAGAAGAAAAACAACATGACTTCACCACATATAGGTGTACTTTAATGATTAAAGCCTCGGGAAAGAAAACAACATATTAGCAAGTATATTCTACTATATGATTAACACAACAAAATATGTATATATGGTATAATTTGGTCAATGTAAAATGACTGGAATAAATAGCAATGAAAATATATAACCTAATTTTAATTGTGTATAACCCATTGGTTGTAGTATTTAACAGGTTTACTTAATAAAAGGTACCTTTAGTTGTGCAGCTGTTCAGGTAACATGTTCACGTTTTACCAAAATATACATCAATAACAAATACATAATAAGGGTGGCATGATAACAAGTAAACAACTCAAGATTAACCAGGTTATCAGCTATGCAAGTGTCATCGTCAATGTGTAAAACTGAAGGATATTTCTGCAAATTGAGCGAAAATTCTTGAACCAATGGTTTAATGTAATGTTGCATTTTACTGTAAGTCCTTTTTAGTGCTAAAGTGAGAAAAAAAAAACGAATCTACCTTGAGGAAAGGTGTTTAAGCTGTCCAAGTTGTTGAGCTGGCTGAATGGCAGACGTCACCACTGTAAGAAACCCGGAGTCTGCAAGGTGTCGGCAGCAGAACGATTCTAATGCTGTCCACAAATGTTGGGTGAATGGATTTTGAAATTCTGTATCTTTTGCCTTTATCGGCTATTCTGTAGGCTCTTATTCTTATGGTGTTAACAAAACACTCCGGGCTCTGTACGATCGAAATGTGAGAAATGAAATCTACTCAAATCCCAAGGATTAATCGAAATTTGTAGACTAATTATGTTTTGCCCGCTCTTATATAACACCGACCACGTGATGCATTTCCTAGAAAAATGTACATAAACATGTTTCCTTGGAAACTTGCGTAACATGATTCATATGACAATAGGCAGCTCCGTAGAAATTTGTATGATTTCTGGAAAAAATGACTTGCAATATGCAATTGTATTTACAAACTAGAGGTCGGAGAACTCATGTCTTCGTCAAAGGTTCATTGTTCTAGAGAAATGAACATGTGTATTCTTTACTCTTGTTAATGATCAATTTGGTCTTAAGTACAAAAGAACCTCTGTACTCGTTTTTATGCTACAGAACGCCCTGAAAGGGTTCGCCACAGATTTTAGAGACGCGCCGTCACCCGTGTTAGACCCCCACCCTACGTTATTTGATTTTGGACTGTTACTGAAAAAAAAAAAAACTTATAAGAGATTCTTCTTACTGTATTATGATGAAAGTGTCACAACATTGTCGCAAAATATAATAAGAGAAGATGTGATAAAGGAAAGAATCAGAACAGGGCGACTACTGCTGTTTTGTTAATTTACCTTTATGACGAATAGAAGACTTGTTTCTTGTTACACTGCGTTCTTTTATTCTATTTGTGTGACTTGTGTCATAACATTTGTATTTCTACAGTATTAGTTTATTCAAAATTCCATCTCCTTTTTCAGCCCTTCATATTTTTATTTTGCGCTTTCACATTAAATTTAAAGTCTCCAGTGGACATCATCCATAGCAATTACTTGGTGTGGCCGTAGAAAATAACCTGTCACATGTCCAACCTATCCTCCCCCTGCTGAACTTATTACAGTACAGTCCCTCAATGTAACGTCATTTGATCCCATCCCATTATGGGGTTCCCGGCTATATCCAGCTGTCGGCTGTCTCCAAGCAGAGGTGGTGGGGGGAGTTCTAAACACAAAAAGTCAGCTACAGTGACAACGAACCCCCCAGCAAAGCCCATTAACGAACTTAACCTTGGTCCCAACAAAAGTAATCTGTCTACCAAAAATTATAAGCAACATTTTACAAATACTTGAGTTATTTTGCTAACAAGCCACAAACATAAAAGGTGCACTAACATGACGCACGGACCCCCCACGAAGCCGAAACTTGTACTTGACTTCGGCCTCAACAACGGTAATCTTCCTGCCAAAAATCATGGACGTCGAATCATGCCTGCCAGAGTTATATCGCAAAATCCACAGTTCCCACAATGCGGCGAGACAATTTCATAGTCCTTCTGACGAAGTAAAAAATCAAGCATGTGTTTACTACCTACCAGGTGGAATGTATGTTGTTGAAATCAAGGGAAATATGTATCTTATCTTATTCAATTTTGTTTGTATTTATTTCCGAATAATGTCGAGAAACGATTTCATTTTTAGATGAAAATTGAAGCTTGTAATTTACTAATCCCATTATAATTCATCACGATAACGCGTTATACAATTATGCATAGTTCTTTTAAAATTGAGTGAAATGTAAATGGTTTGGTGTTTTATAATTCTATACAATAACCCGAAATATACAATTAAAGGAATACAAATAAGTGGAATCCTCTGTAATTGCACAAGGTGGATATGGTGAAACACTATTTATACTGCGCTCTCATTGGAGACAAAATGACGCCATCCACAATACCATATATAAGGCGGGGCGAAGCAGCCGTAGCGCAGTCAGTTGGAGACATCCGTAAGCCGCAGACCTCGGACACGGACGGGCTCACCATTTTCCTCAGCGTTTTCAGACT